GCCAAACACCCCCACCGCCGAGCCGCACTGCCGAACGCACCCCCCCCAGCGCCCCCAGCCACCGAAACAAAAACAACCCACCGCACCCCCAGCGCCGCCTGACCGAACCCCCCTCAAAAAAACAAAAAACCCTGAGCGCCCCCCGCCACCCCAAGATTGGCTGCCCCTTACCAAGTGCCGCCCCAAGCATGTGCTTGGTCGGCTGGTGCCTGGAGCTGGCCCTGGGTGGGGAAGGCTGAGGCAGGTAGGACAGATCGCTGGAGTGTGACCCGGGGGCCCCCCTTTCCCATCCTCAGGCGTTTCCAGGAGAACTCAGCCTCGAGAGCCAGGCCAGGACCCTGGCAGCAGCCCAGAGAATGATCGAAGTCATCAGCTCGGAGACAGAGGAGGGTCACGAGACGCCCACCTCCGCCGGCAACAGCATCCTGGGGATTCTGGGTAAGCAACGAGCCACCCCAGTGTGATAGGGCGGGACTGGGGTGTGGGAGGCAGCAGGGCCGTGTCCCTGGGAGCTGCAATCCATGACTCTGCCCTCTTGCCACCGACTCCCCCAGTGTCTTTGGGAGCTCTCTGACTCGGCAGCCAGTAGCAGTGCCACAGTCCGGCTCAGTGAGTTTGGTGCTGCAGAGAACACCGCAGCCTTCTGCTTCCCGGACTGTCATTCTCAGCAGCCTTGCCAGGCCTGAGGTGAAGTCTGACACTGAGGGGCTCTGTGCTTCTGGTGGGGCTGTTGCCCTAATGAAGGGAGATGTGAGGACAGGAACGGGGGAAGCAGCAGGACTCTAACCGAGGGGTGTGAAATCTTTCCCAGGGAGCACGTTATCAGCACTGGACACAGCCCCCCACCCGCCTCTGTCTGGGGGCCCTGGTCTCAGCACGGCCTTGACCGCCTTCAACCTCACCCGTGCCCTGATGAAGTCCCTGATGAGGTCCCGGGTCCTGAATGAGGAGACCTTGTTGCTGTCTGTCTCGGAGATCCACACGCAGGGCAAGAGGGCCAACTCCCCCAACCTGCTGTGCCTGGCGCCCTCTGAGCGGTGTCTCTTCTCCGTGCCCAGCGCGGTGGCCAGGCAGCTGGCGGGGAGCCAGGAGGTGGTGCAGGTGCTCATGGATTTCTCCGTCAACCCCTTCCCATTCAACTACTACGCCAACTCCTCCATCTCCACCCGCCTGGCGCTGCTGGAGTTCACCACTCCTGGAGGGGCACCCATCCCAGTCTCCAACCTGTCCGAGGAGAGGGCTATCGGGCTGAGGCTGCCGACTGGGCAGCAGGAGCAACAGAGCTCCCCTCCGACACTCATCCTCCTCCCTCCTGGGGAATCGGTCAACTTCACAGTGAGGGCCTTGGCGGGGAGCCGTGCCGAGGGGGTGCACATCCGCATTGGCGTCACCGTGCAGGAGGGTGAGTCGTTAGCAGGAGACAGACCTGCTCGTGGTTTGAGATGGGGGACAGTTCGACGCGGATTAGCACTGGGGTTCCCTCTCCCTCTTGTGTAGAGAGACCATGACCCTCAGCTACAGCGTGAGGGATAACAGGGATCCGAGGGATCGCCAGAGTCTCTCCTCGAGCTGCCCTTTAGGACTCATACAGATCCCGTTTGTAGGCCAGCCACTAGGGGGCGACGTAGCCACAAACCCTGGAACAAGCCTGATTCCATCAGCAGAGGGCAGGGGTACACCTGTTCATGTACGTGCACGCCCTCTGGTGCGTGCCGGAGTGCAAATGCAGGCTACAAGTGACTCCCAGTCAGCTCAGTTCACTGCTTTCTCCGCATCACAAACCCAGGATTCTCATCCGGGTGAAGGAAGTGACCCTTCCAGATCAGATCCCCTTCCTTGCTGCTGCGCCCTTCCGAAGCACAGATTCCCCAGGCCCAGGTAAATAAGCGCCAGACCTGGCTGAATGCTGCAAACTGGGAGTGACTGTCCATCTCCTTACAGGTTTTGACCCTAGCCAGGAGAGAGAGCCCTCGATCCATTTCTACGGGCACTACGCTCCGGTTCCCAATGAGTTCCACTACGCCTGGAAGGAAGAAATGCTCTTTGACAGCCTGCAAGGAGGCAGCAGCAGGGAGGTCACCATCTTGCTTTCATCTCCGTGAGTGTCCATTCACCCACTGTGCTGGGACTTCCTGCAGCATTGCTGCCTGGGGTTTGAGGGCTCCACCTGCCTTATGGGCGGGAGGGGGAATAATGGGTGTCAGTGAGAAACAGCTGACTCGTGCAGTGCCTCCCCACACAGCATCAGAGCCTGCCTTCTCAAGGGGATGAGCACAGGGGGTGCAGTGACCCAGTCCAGGGCAGCAAAGAAAATCCATTCCCTGTGCGAAAAGAGACTGCTTCACTGGAGATCTTTCCTCTCCGGGAAGGAGGGTATTTGGGAGCTAGGGGAGAGGGGAAGATCTGTAGTTCTTAACCACTATAGGGCAACACAGCTGTGATGTCGCTTTGCTTGGGTTGCACGGTGCACCCCTTTTCACTGGCTTTGTGGAGCTTGAGGACAGGGTCCTGTGCAAAGTCAGGTGTGGGGTTGGGGGAAAGGCAGATGCCCACAGTGTGGTACATTTGGGGTGTGGTGGTGGCCAGTCAGGGCGCCTGGCATCGCTGCAGGGAGACATCAGCAGGGCTTGGAGGAGATGAGAGTGCTGCTGTTGGGCAGGGCTGGGGGAGCCTGGCAGCTGGATCTAGGGTGACCAGATGTCCCGATTTTATAGGGACAGTCCCGATTTTTGGGTCTTTTTCTTATATAGGCTCCTATTCCCCCCACCCCCCACCCCTGTCCCGATTTTTCACATTTGCTGTCTGGTCACCCTAGCTGGATCAGGGACTTTTCGTTTGGAGGTGCAGGACGGGAGTCAGCAGGTTGGATCCCTGTGTTAACGTTTGCTAGCCAGGCCAGCAGGCTGGGGAGCTCACAGGCACAGCAGGCAGGGAAAGTGTGATCATAGCATGGGGTCGGTGTGGGACCCCATGCAGCCCCACACATGGAGTATGGCTGGGGCCAGCCCTGCTTGCAGGACTTGCCTGATCGTAGCCCAGTGTCCTGGCCGAACCCGGCCCTGGAGATCTACGTTGTGCCACCTTCCTCCTGTAGTTTGCGTTAGATACCCTGCCCTTCACTTCCTGTCCTAAACTGTGTATCTGTCATGCTAAACAGTGGCTGCATCCCACCCCAGCGGGGGCTGCACTTCAGTGGTGTGTGAAGTCTGTAAGGGGGGCACTGGCATCCTTTGTGTTGAGTGGTGCTACTGAACCGTAACCTCACCCCATGCTGTCCCCTCTCCCGTCCAGCCACAGCTTCAACGGGATGCTCCGAGACTATCACGTCAACATCACCAACCACTTCTCCCAGGCGCCCGTCAGCGCCGCGGTCACGGTCTTTGCCAGCCTCTGCCAGTACTTCCACTTCCCCAGCATGCAGTGGAGTACAGAGGGCCTGAGGCCGACGGCCGCCACCAGCCGGAAGGAGATTGTGTGCCTGACAGAACATCTCACCGTCTTTGGAGCCAGTCTCTTTGTGCCACCTCACAGCATCCTCTTCCTACCCCCGGTAAGCCGGGCCTGGCCGTCTGGGCATGCAAGGAGGAGATGGTTGGTTACTGTCCCTGTCAGTGTAATGGTGACAGCTGGCGTCTTGGCCAACACCGAGGTAAAGCTGCACCGCGGCAGCTTGAGCTGACGAGCCAAGCTGGGGCTGTCACAGCTCCTATCCTCTGTGGCTACGATTGGGCGCATGAAACGCACACGGACCAGTGATTGCATTAGCAGCAGCCTGAGACCCGCTGCGTGCAGAACGCCCTTCAAAGGCAGTGGGGGCTCCCTGTGCGAAGAGCCAGCGGTAGGAGTCGGGCTGTAGAAGCAGATAGTCTGGTCTCCACACTGCACACTCGATGATCAATTGAGCCTTATTGAGCGTGCTATCCCGTAACTGTCTGCTCACTCCCAGCGCGGAAGGACCCGGCTCACCTGGGTCTAGAACTGGTGTGTGTAGGGGGGTGAAATTCTCCCCTGTGCAGAGGGGACTAGGCCAAGGGCTAGACACCACCTGAGCCCACGTATGCCCTGATTTGAAGGCTTCAGGCAGACTTAAATGGTGCATAACAGGTCTTAGGCTGTGACCCCCCACCCCCACCCCCGGTGAATTTCCACACCAAAGAGAGGGAGAGGGGAGATGATGAAGGGAAAGCAAGACCCCTTTGCTCAATGATCAGCGGCTGGATCCTAGCTAGGTCTGCCATGTTCGCACCCCAGGACTGAAGATAAAGACCGATTCTGTTGCCACCAGGCTCAGGTTCAAAGTCGGTTTGGTCAGTTGGGGAATAATGAGTCTCCTATTTGATCACGTCACCTGCAGAGACGTGCATTACCAGATCTGTCTGGATAGCCCCGCCTGCTCTGGGGTCGTGTTTGAGGGTCAGCGTTCCCCACTGCCCCATAGAATCATAGAATATCTGGGTTGGAAGGGACCTCAGGAGGTCATCTAGTCCAACCCCCTGCTCAAAGCAGGACCAATTCCCAGACAGATTTTTGCCCCAGATCCCTAAATGGCCCCCTCAAGGATTGAACTCACAACCCTGGGTTTAGCAGGCCAATGCTCAAACCACTGAGCTATCCTTCCCCTTAGGAGCTTTTGTTTCCAAGTGGTCAAAGGTAGAAACTTGGAGGAAATATTCCCTCCTGGTCCTTTGGGGTTGTTTTCCTTTTAGTGCTCCCAGCATACCAGATCTCCCTCTAACAGGGAGGGAGGATCCGCAGCTGCTCCATTCATTAATTAATCGGAAGGCGTTCAGGTGCCCAGATGCCAGGGTGATGGGCACGTTGGAATTGCTGTAATGACGAGGGGAGCACTGACACTTCCTGCCTCTTGCGTCTCCACGGGTGGATGGGTGGGTAGCGCTCGATGGAGCCCCCCTCCGCCTGCTTCTACCCTCACCTGTGTTGGGGTTTCAGAGCAAGCGCGCCAGGCAGGCTCCGCTGGTGGTGATTACCTGCTGTGTGCTCTTCGCCATCTACCTGGGGATGGTGCTGATCGCCCACAAGCTGGACGACATTGACATCACCCGGGTGGGCGTCGTCCCTCGCTGCGGCCAGCCCGGACGGTACAAGTACTGGGTAATGGTGAAGACTGGCTGGAAAAGAGGATCAGGTAGAGTGGCGGGCAAGAGCTAGCAGCCCATTCCGCTCCTGTCAAGGGCCAGGTTGCAGGGGGTTGGGAGGAGCTACGTGAACCCCTGGGGCAGGAGGCCCTGACCTAGAAAGCTTCTGGAGAGCAGGGTTTGCTCTGCGTGCTCCATCGTTCCAGCCCAGTTCCTCCCTCGCCCCAGGAGCGGTGGGCTGTCTCTGGAGCCAGGACAGGGTTCGTTCGTGGAGCTGTGTTTGGTGCCCGTAGGGAGATAGAAAGGAAAGGGGATGCCCAGGGTAGAATGAATTTGGAAACAATACATTTCCCCAATGCCTGTTCGAGTTTGCTCCTCTTTCAGGCAGCTAGACCAACGCCCCTCTCCCACCCCGTCTTCAACATCTCTTCTGTTGGCATCCGATGGTGTGCACTTAAAGGCCGAAACATCTGTTGTGTCAGCCATTGGCAGCCGAGTTGGGTTGTGGGGGGACAAGGCTGGTGAATTCTGCTGGGGACAATAGACACAACGTCAGCTATCACGTTACACGTCTCTTCTAGGTACCACTGCCCACGTAGGGATCAGCTTATATGGGCTGAACAAAAGTGGCTCTCGCCACCTGGACAAGGGCTGGGCCTTCCAGAGAAACAGCCAGGATATTTTCCAGGTGGAGACTGATGCAAACCTGGGAGAGATCTGGAAGATCCGCATCTGGCATGACAACACTGGTACGGCACATAGCGCAGGGGTTATGTTTCTATAAGTAAAATCTAGATCATTGGACGTCAAGTTGCTTCCGGTGCTTCCGCTGCATCACAGCTCCAGCACACAGGTGTGACGCACTCACTGCATTGGTGAGATGGGCTTACTGCAGGAGCACCCTGAGTGCTGGCGTAGGACTTCAGGTGCAGCGCACACCCCGGCCATGGATTTCTCCGCATAAACTCTGCGCTGCCCTTGATCAGGAGCTGGCGTGTTCTGGGGTCAATGGGACACGTAGCCTCTTTATGTGTCATTAATGTTTCATTAGCCGTGATTAACTCTGTTAATTTGCAGACTAGCCTTTATGTCCCAGGGCGCCATTTTTCCCAAGTGACTAGAGATTTGGGGTGCCCTTAAATGAGCCTGACGTTTGGAAGCGCTGAGCACCCGCCTTCAGAAACGGAGGCCCCCTTAAGGGATCTCCAATTGGGTGCCCAAAATCTCAAGTCACTGCAAAAAATCTTGGCCACCCCAACTATAAGGGGCCAGATCCTCAGCTAGTATCAATCAGTGTAGTTCTATTGACTTCAGGGGCACTGTGCTGATTTCCACCAGCTGAGGGGCCGACCCAATAAAATTTCCTTTAAACTGAAGCCAGGCAATTCAGAGGTAAAGCTGAAATCCTTAATTTGTCTCTCTGCACCTATAATTTAATAGCGCCTGGTATAAAGAGGCACCCCCGGTTCTCTGTTCTTTGCAAGCCATGTGCAGACCGGGGGAACTGTGAACAGTGATTAGCTTTAGCCTTGCGTTACCCCGATTTGGTGTCTTGGAGCCGACCCATAGCATCAGGACACGTTTCTGTGTTTAACTCCCTCACGCTTTCTCTTCCCTGGTTGTGGCCTGCACAATGTGCATCACGAGGAATCGTCCGGTACACACATTTCAGAGCCAAATGCTTCACTTTAATGACACACACAGAAGGGTGAGAGATCAAAGGCAGCGGTGGTCTTACTAATTTGTAAGCCAGCCCATCCCTCACCAGCAGTTCTACAGACACAGCTTTGGCTCAGTCCCAATAAAAGACAGTTGCAAGCTAGAACGTTAATTACAACATGTACTGTTACCGTCATTCTATATCTGCATGGTAGTAGCATCAACAACGCACTAGCTGCTGTCCCACACATATTGGATGAGATGCAGTTGCTGCTCCAAAGAACTTGCAAACTAAGTTTCCAAGCACTTCTGAGCAAGAGGAACTCAATAGCTCACATAAAGTAGGTTAGCCTCTGTACATCCATCCTGAGAACTAATCAGCTCCTTAGCTCCTGGATTCGAGCCCTTTGCAAAGCACGTATTGTAACAAGATGGCCATGGACTCCTGCCTCAGGTGAGAATGGGATGGAGGCTAGAGTTCTCCTCTCCATCTCCCTCCATCGGAGGACGACTGAGCAGAGAAGTGAGCAGCAAGGATGTAAATCCATTAGGAACTGTCCTGGGAAGGCAGTCATTAGAAACGCAGGTGCGTCATTCTCTCCTCCTCTGTGTCCCCAGGGCTGGACCCTTCCTGGTACCTGCAGCATGTCGTTGTCTGGGACAGACAGACAGACCATATGTATTTCTTCCTGGTGGACGACTGGCTGTCAGTGGAAAATGAGCACAACGAAGGACTGATTGAAAAGGAAGTCTTGGCTGCATGTGAGTGTTGCCCCCTGGAGACAATCCAAAGCTTCCTTTAGCATTATTACTGCAGGAGCACCAGGAAGCCCTGACCCAGGTCAGGAGCCACTGTGGTTGATGCTGTGGAAATACATAGTATGTGACAGTCCCTGTCTGACAATGTAAATAGACGAGGGAGACCCAGGGTGGGAGGGGAAATGACTTGTCCAGGGTTGCACAGCAGGTCAGCAGGGAATCTCCTGACTCCCAGTCCAAAGCCCTGTCCACCAGGCCACACGCTGAATGTGATCTTGGTGGACAATGGAGATGGGTGTGAGGACACTAGGAAGGGTGGCAGGGGGCAAGGAGTGACGGTATCTTTGATAGCGCGAGTGCCGCTGGTGCCCAGACTAACTGGGAGGAGTTCTCTAAGTGATGGTGGCGATGGAGACCCCGGAGAAGACAATGGGGAAAGAACTCATGGTGGTGATCAAGCGAGAAGGAAGGTGTTGGTGATGGCAGAGGTGACAGCTAAAGGGAAATGCCCAGAGGAGGGGAAGGAGATTGGGGATAGAATCCCCGAGGAGGAAGAGAAGGGAATGCTGATCATTTGCATTATGCCGCTTCCAGGCCCACAGGAGCTGAGATGCTTCTCTCGAGTTTTCCCTGCCCAGCTGCGTCTTGGCTTTTCTGATTGGCATGTGTGGCTCTCCGTCTGGGGCCGCTCTCCCCACAGCCGCTTCACCCGGGTGCAGAGGGTTACCTGCTGCGTGCTTGCTGTGTACCTCTTCCTGGCCATATGTGTGCTCTGGTATGGAGCCATCGGAGTTGAGGGCTACAGGTGGGTCCCCCTACATCTCTGTCTCTTACAGGAGGGTTTCATGCAAGTAGACAGAGAAAGAGATAGAGGGAGGGATGTAAAGTAGTGAGTGAGGGAAGGAAAAGCCACTGGGGCTGGGATTTTCAAATGATTTCAAGGGAGTTAGGCACCCAAATACCACTGGATCGCAATGAGATTTGGATGTCTTAACTCCCTTAAGCTCCTTTGAAAATCCCAGCTTGAATGGTGATATGGGTGCTGAGGAAGTATCTGATGCTTTAGACTCATGGAACTGTAGGGCTGGAAGGGACCTCGAGAGGTCATCTAATCCAGCCCCCTGTGCTGAGGCAGGACCAAGTAAACCCAGACCATCCCTGACAGGTGTTTGTCCAACCTGTTCTTAACCTCCAGTGATGGGGATTCCACAACCTCCCTTGGAAGCTTATTCCAGAACGTAACTACTCAGAATTAGAAAGCTTTTTCTAACATCTAACCTGAACCTCCCTTGCTGCAGATTAAGCCCATTACTTCTTGTTCTATCTCCATGGACATGGAGAACAATTGATCACTGTTCTCTTTAGAACAGCCCTTCACATATTTGAAGGTTATCAGGTCCCCTCAGTCTTCTTTTCTCACGACTAAGCATGCCCAGGTGTTTTTAACCTTTCCCCATAGATCCGCAGTCTTTGTGTGATGGCTCTGCTCCCAGAGAGGCCTGTGCAAAATGTAGGCCCCTACCCAGTATGACTGTCCCAGTGTCCTGGAACCACTCCCTATTAACACAGGACTTTTCAAGTCACCACATTGTCCTCTGGCTTTGTTTCTCTCCCGTAGTGTTCCCTTGGGAAGCCAGGTTTCAGTAACAGCAGAGAGCATTGCTGTGGGGATGGTCGTGGCTGTGGTGGTCTTCCCGATACAGCTTCTCTTCACTTTCATCTTCAGGAAAACTCGCAGTAAGGTACTACAGTAGTTACCCTCCACACACAACATCTAGTCAACCTCCTTCCCCCAGCTACATCACCCACTGAACCTGCTGCGACAACCCCACCAAGGTCCATCCGTCCCCACCCTAAGGGGCGGGAAGTTTGGCATGATCAGAATGAAGGACCTTGCATTGTCACTGCCTCTGCAGTGCCCGTTTTGTGCATAAATATTGACAATACACACCAGTATCCAGGGTTGTCAGTCAGATCCCTTTTCACCAGCACAAAATCCATGTAATCGTTTCAAGGATGCTCTCTGAAATGTTGCCATCTTATTTTACAGACACGGTGGGAAGACAAGGCTAAAATATACAGCCAAAGTTAGTGGAAAATTAGAGTTGGTCAAAAAATCGGGTGTGATTTGTGCAAAAATTTGTCTGTTTTTCATAGAAATTCAAAATTTGATTAAAAAAAAACCTTCATCAAAATTAAGAATTTCAAAAATGTTGACCAGGTTTACATACAAGCACTTAGGGCTGTTTTTAGAACAGGGTTATAATATTATCATTAATAATTATTATTTGTACTGTACCTAGGAGCCTGTCTTGGACCAGGACTCGATTGTGCTAGACCCTGTCCAAACACAGAACAAAAAGACAGCCCCTGCCTCAAAGAACTTACAATCTGAGTATAATAATAGGAGAACTGGAAATTCTGCAGAAGAAATTCTGCCGTGAGCACACACAGCTGCCAAGCTCTTCCACACGATCTGACTTCCAGAGGCTCAGTTAGGGAGTAATGACAGTACCTAGCTCTTATACAGCACTTGTCATCACTAGCTCTCAAAGCACTTTACAAAGCAGGCCAGTATCATTCTCCAGATGTTACGGATGGGGAAACTGAGGCACAGGGCGAGGCAGGGACTTGCCCAAGGTCACCTAGCAGGTCAGTGGCAGAGTCAGAAATAGAACCAGGTCTCCCGTGTCCCAGTTCAGTGCACAGTCCACTAGACAGCTGTCTGTCTCTTAGGGGAATTCTCTTGATGCCAAACTGAAATTGCAGTAGTAACGCTTAGGGTCCAGCTGTCAGACTCCTGCCTCTATTTGTGCACGTGCTGCTTTGTATGTGCTGACTGACACCTGGGCACACACTAGCATCTGCATATGCAGGTGACAGATTCTAACACATGTCAGCACCTTCCGGGAAGGGCAATGCGCCAGCGCAAAGGGACCTGGTTGGAACCTGGTTCTAGACACGCCCTCGGTCACAGCCTCCAGGCAGGGAGCACTCCTCTTTCCTCTCTTTCTGACAGGTGGTTGTGGAAGACCCCGACCCACCTGTGCAGGACTCTCAGACTGTGGAGATGGAGGTGTGCCTGGAGCACGCTGACCTAGGCAGCTCCTCCTTCCTGTCTATCCCAGGGGGGATGGAGTCCATCATGGACGGGAGCTCTGTCAGTGGTGTAAGTTAAAGGCCATTCTATGGGCATCTTTTGGGGACCTGTGAAGAAAAGGCCGTGGGAGGTGAGGGGCTACGTGTCTGTCTCTGTCTTGCTGCCCTCCCAGGTATTTCTAGACACACGCCACTGCCCCTGGGCTTTGGAAAAGACAACTTCTTCTTTGAAAACTGAGCTCCCAGCAAAGGGTGATTGAGCCAGGAGTCAGGACTCCCTGGTTGGCAGATGGGGCAGGTTTGCTCGCTCTCTGGAGGCCAGCACCATTCATCCTACCTGCTGAGTAGAGCAGAGACTCCTTAACTCCCCTTGCAGAGCCCTCATCCCTGACCCCTCTGCTTTCAGAGGCCACCCTCGCTGGTCTAGTGGGGGCAGACCCAGTGTCTCCAGCTCCCAGAGGCAGGCAGGTCCCTCATAGAGGGGAGAGCCCCTCCCACTTCATCCTGAAGGCTTTTCTTAATCCTTTCATTGCTGGACTAGAGTAAAACGGGGTGCAATCTCAGCAGCACCCTCTCTTTCTCTGTTATTGGGAGCTTCTCTTTGGTTGGATGCAAGGAAGGGTGTGTTCTCTAAAGGGCAATGGTCATTTATATAAAGGGCTTCATAGGGGGCTGGAAGCCAAAGGGAAACAGCCATCTTGCTCTAAGGCAGAACGGGTGCCAGGGGACACCCTCCAGGAGTCCTGATGACCATGTGGCTTCTGTCGCCCCTCATAGTTCACCTGCACCCCCCTCATCCCTTTCTTTTCAGGAGTCGCCTGGGAGTAGAAGGCCAGGGTCCACCCAGGAGAATCTCACCAAAGTGGGCAACGCAAGGTACACCAAAGGGGGCTGGACAAGGGGATGTGGTTCCCTTAATTGAAAGAGATTCGTGTTCACTCTGAATCAGTTCTTTAGGGGGGAAATGGCTGCAGAGAGGCAGATGCAGGCAGGGGGCTGATGGGGTGACCCTCTCCTTTCTTCCAAGATGGGAATGAGAGAACAGCCCTAGTAACGCACCCATGCTGGCAAGAGAGAATCAGGTCTCAGCTGCTGGAGAAAATTAACCCATTGTATTCTGAACCGAAGATTGTTGAAAAACCTGCATTCAGGCATTTGTAACTTAGCGCCCCACCAGCTCTGACTACATCCCTTTCACGGGAGGACTCCCCAAGTCAGCTTTACAGCGAGGGAGAGCTCAGCCTCTGTGCTTTAACGAATCTGCAGTTGGGCTGGCATCCGGCAGATACAGTAACCCTGGCTGTGCAGGACCAGAGTGGCACTGGATTGGCTGGTGCAGCTTAGCAATCAGGCTCTTGACGAATGTGTGGGAGATGTAGGTTTGAGTCTCCGTTCCAGTGCCTGGCGCCCCACGCTGGGGGAGCTGAGATAGTGACCTAGCAGAGCAGTCAGCCCCTTGCATGGTAAGTGTCTTGGCCTGATAGCAGTAATCCAGCCAGCCAGGGTGGTAGAGGGCTTGGCCAGAAGGATGGGGCTGCAATGCAGAACATCAAGGAGGGTCGCGGTGGGGTGACTACAAGGCAGATAAGATGCGGAGACTCCTCAGAGCTTTGACAAGTCCTTGGAGATCTCTCTGTGGGCGGAGAGGGTCTATAAACCCTCTCCAGCTGATGTCTGGATTGAGGAATTTGCACAGGCCCATAAGAAACAGGTGACAAATGCAAGCCCCATGCAGCAGAGGGGACACAGGGCCTATGTTTCTAGGCTGGTCTGATGGTTAGACTGCAGATGGCAAATTCATTACCGACGACCAGCCAGGCAGGAGGGCGGTTCCTGTCCAAACACAGAACTGTCGTGCTCTGAACGTCCTAGCCAGGAAGGGACCTCCTTTGCACTAGGACCAGAGCTCAGGAGCGTGTCACCCCTTTGGTTCTGCAGGGTCGCAAAACGCTGGCCCTCCTGCGACAGCATCTTCGACGTCCCAGATCTTCTGAACTCGGACCCCCTGGTGAGCCAAAGTCGGATCCTCAAGAGGAAGAAGGCCCTGCTGAAGCTGGGAATTGAGTCCGCATCCAGCTCTGATGATGACCCCCTGTCCTTCTCCTTAGGGGACTCTGAGGACAGCAGGAGAGACAGCCGTGGCCACCGCCTCACCCGCTCTGGTACCCCAAACAACTCTCCGCTCTTCTTTCCATCCTTCCCCTCATTCACTCCCTCCTCCCAGCCCCCCTCTTCCATCGTCATTCTCCAGTCCAGGATTCACAGTGTGGTGGTCCGGCTTTAGTGTCATAAATGCATCTGCTGCTACAATAGACAGAATGGCCCTGGCTCCTACTGACGCCACGGGAAGTTTTGCCATTGAGCTCAGTGAGGCTAGAACTGAGCCCAAGGTGCTCCTGCCTTTCCTCTCCTGCGCCGGCCGCAGAGCTGTCTCACTGAGCGCCATCCTCTCCCTCTCCGCTCAACAGAGGAAGATTTGCTCAACTCCATCGTAGCCGAGACTCAGCGGAGCAGCTCCTCGGACTGCGTCACGTCCGACAGCGGCAGGTTCTCACCCCGAGCCGAGGCGGATCTGGTCTCCGATGTGTAGGTACCCAGGCCAGGCCCTGCTCAGAGCACCCCAAAAAACTAAGGGGGGGGAGCCCAGGCCAGAGAGATTCATAGAGGGTAATGCCAGCAGGGACCATTACGATCATCTAGTCTGACCTTCTCAGAGACCGTTTCTCTTGCAGCTGCACTGCTGGGAACGACCCTGACCCCGAGGGGTGGTGCTTTTTGTGGCCAATTAGAGCCCCGAATTCTTGTTCTGTTTTCTTTTAGTTTTGGGTCTTTTAATGTCCCGCCCATCTCCAAGGGCTCTGGCACAGCTCAAGGGGCCTCTCCCCAGTCCCAGGCTCAGTGGTTGATGATCATGAACCACCATCTCTCTCCCATTACAGTATGGAAAGTCCCTGCAGCGCCTGGTCCGATGGCATCCCAGAGCAGGGGAGGAGCGGCTGGGGCTTCCTGCGCAAGTCCTTCTCCTACATCTCCGCCCTGACGAGCCCTGGCAGCGCGCTGCTCCCTGATCCGGAGCCTCTGTCGGCCCCGGTGTCATCCTTCTCCACCCGGATCGGTGTGTGAGGCACCTGGGAAAGGGGCGCCACCCGAACTGAACTGGACCATTGGGGTGGGGTGGGCGGGGGGGAAGGAAGAGACTTCCTGCCTATGAGAATGGTTTTGCATCGGGCGGCGGGGGGGCCGTGAGGCTGGGTCACTGCAGGGATCTAACATCTGTTGGCGACTCGCGGGTCGTGGTTTGAATGCCTCTTTCTCCCGTTCTTCTCTGACTGCCACAGGCAGGGGTTGCACCTAGCTCCCCCACGGCACCAGCTGGGGAGTGATGGTGCATCCTTGTTTCCTGCCCCACAGCACCAGCTGGGGAGGGAAGCCAAGTCTCTCAGCTGTGGCCCACACGCCTGCCGCTGAGCCGCCCCATGCTTGGCAAGAGGAATAACTCCAAACGCAGGTTGAAACGGCGGCATCTCCAGAGAGAGGCAGCAGCCAGGGAGGAGAGGGGAGCCTGGATCCCAGCGCAGAGGAAGGGAAGCTAACTGAAAGCAGCTGGATTGGTTTCTATAGCCCTAGAAATGCCAAACCCTGCCCCTGTGCAAGGGGAGGCAGTGGGGCTGCCCCAGGATTGTGGGCAGGGGAGGGGAATGTTGAGTCTGTGGGGTCTAAGTGATGATGCGGGTTTAAACAGAACAACTCTGGTTGCTTTTCCTGCAGGGGTGTCCCGCAGACCCTTGGAGTGGCTCTTCCCTGGCTGGGCGCTGCCTATGACCTATGCCTTCATCTTCCTGCTTCTAGCAGGCTGCTTCACCGTCACCATCCTCTACGGCTCCTCCCTCCAGGACCACACTGCCCTAATGTGGCTCATCTCCTGCATATTCTCCTTCATCACCTCCTTTGTGCTGCTGGAGCCACTGAAGGTAACGGCCCCTACTCCTCTCGGCACTGCAGATAACCCTTCGGCTTTGCCCATCCACAGCCCCTCCCAGCTGAGAGCCACAAAGCATTTTGCAGACATCAGTTAATTCACAGCACCCTTAAGGTGGGATGACACTGCCCCCACTGTCAGATGGGGAAACTGAGGCAGGGAGCGGGCAAATGACCTGCCCAAGATCACACGAGTGAGTGAGTGGCCAGTGGGGAGAGAACCCCGGAGACCTCAGTGCAGATCCTCCTGCACAAGGACTTAGAGGAGGGACTATTTCACACTCGCCCATTGGCTTTGTTTGAATCCCTGCTGGCTACTGACTCGCTTGTGTTACCTGGGGCAAGCTGCTGGTCCTCTCTGTGCCTTGGTTTCCCAATCTGTAAAGTGGGGGCAGTGTTATCCCAGGAGCTACTGCACATCCTGCTGGAATCAGGCCGGGGGCATTCAGTGAAGATTGGGGCCTTTGCCCTCCCCCACTGAGGGTTTATTCAGCACCCCTCCCCCTTCACTCTGGGCATCCACCATTTCCACCCATGAGGCATTGCTCTGTGGATCGGGGTAACCTGGTGCTCTCTGGGGCCCTAGAAGAGTAACAGCCCCTGGCCCTGGGGCTCACACGCTCTCCGTTGTCCTGTCGTGGCAGGTGGTGCTGGAGGCCCTGCGTGCTGCTCTCATCACCAAGCCGGTGGACAGCGAAGGAGAGGGGCTGGTGGAAGAGCCGCTGGTAAAGCCAGTGCCCGAGCGCATTGGGAAGGTGCGAGCACCCTGTGGATACGGGCTTCTCCAGGCCAAGGAGGAGGCGAGGAAAGTGCGGGCGCTGCGAGCGCTGATGAGGGTAATGTGTTCCCCTGGGACTTGCCCCACCTTGCTTGGCTGCTGCTAAGAAGCCTGTGGGGACCCCCATCGCTTAGCTCCTAGAGAGGCCTTGGGATGCCGAGGGGGGATACAGGACATTCACGGAGTGCCGCACTGTGCTCTGAGGAACTGTCCAAGGGGAATTTAACCTAAACCTCCCTTTTCTGCTGTCCTCGTTCTCCATTCGCCCCCCCCCAGCTGCAGCCCTCGCATCCCGGCTGGGCTGTGAACCCACCTAAGGGCACCAGCTGGCAACCAAACCCAGCCCTTCCTTCCGACCGCAGTGCCAATGTTACAATGCACCCCCATGCTCAGAGCTGAGCTCAGGAGAGCACCAGCTTACTGGCAAGAGAAGGAGGCCGGCGTGGATGTTTGTACACTGCCCAGGTCCAGCACCGAGCAGCCTTGGCTGTGTTTTGCCCCAGAACCCAAAGGGGCTGGGTGGAGGGTGTGTGATGTATTGAACTGAAAGGTAGAATCACAGCTGTGAGGGCTCGCTGTGGCCACTAGATGTCAGTGTGAGTTTGGATTTGCACCGTTTAGCTGCACCTGAGCATAGCTGGGTCTAGTCCAAATTCTTGGCTGTTTCTCCAAAGCTTGTGATGCTGCAGTGCTCTGGGCCTGATGACCGGGCCGTGAAAAGCTTCTCATTGTTCCAAGATTGTCCATGATGGGGTTTCTAGCATCTTCCTCTGGAGCATCGGGCTCTGGCCCCTCTTGGAGACAGGAGATGAGCTCGACTGACCCTTGGCTTGCCCTTGTATGGCAGTTCCCATCCTGCTCAGTCCCCTTTCTCAGCCCACGATCCAGCTTTCCTGGCTGCGTAGCATTCATTCCTTACCTGAATGCCTCCATTTTCTCCCCCTCCCCAGAGCTGTCTCACCCACATGCTCTTCCTCCTGGTGGTTCTGACTGTCAACTACCAGAGCTGCTTCCACCACCGCAACATCCATCTCCTGCATGCTGCTGTCAGACAGGCCGTCACCGCCCCAAATGACAGAGGACTCAACTTCTCCTCTGTGCGCAGGTGAGGACCCCAGGCAGGGGAAGGGTTGGAGCAGCGATTTGTTGTTGTAGCCTGTTAGTCAGCTGCTGATTGATGCCCTGAAGCCCGAGTATGTAGAGTTGTTATTATACTGAAGACCCCACATACTCATGCTTCAGGGCATCAATCACCAGCTGACTAATAGGCATCAGGAAGAAAATTTCCCCATGTGCCGGTTATGACATAACTGCCTTCTGCAGTGATGCTGGTCACTGGAGATGGGCTCATGGGCTAGCTAGACCACGGTTCTGATCTAAGGCAGTGTCTCTGTCCCTGGAGTGAGATCACCTGGAATCCGTGGAGTTTTGGGGTACCAGGCTGGAAACTTGGTGGTGCAATTTAAATATGAAACTTTTTTGACATGAGTTACCATGAAACTAACAGTGACCCCTAAAGCAGCATCCCCTGTATGTTTATACTGCTATTCAGTGTAATTCCTTTTACACCACCCACACATTGTTCGTTTTCTCTGTGCTGCAGGTTTTGAATGGCTGGTGCAGAACTTGTAAACTCTTTGGGGGCAAGGCCTGTTGTTTACAGTATATTTGTACAGCACCTCGCACAACAGGGCCTCCAGGCACTATGTAATATACAAATAATTACACTGTCGAAGTAGCCAGGGGGAAGCTGGAGGTTCTGACAGCTGGGAGGGGACAGTTGGGGCTGGATACGGGTCAGCTGGTGAGGGGTAGGAGGCAGTTTGGGATTGTGGGATAATCTCATTCGAGCTGGATGTTTTTGTTCTGAGTTTGCACAGCACCTAGCACCATGGGGCCCTGGTCCACGAGTAGGGCTGCTAGGTGCTGCCACAATACAAACACTAAATAATAATAATGATCAGCGGTGAAATGGTCAACAGTGTTGCTATTTAAATTGCCCCCTTTAGGTTTCAGAGTTAACCCACTGAAACAAAGGGGGCGGTTCACCCCTTTCAGAGCAAGTGTGTCAGGCTCTCTGCAGACTCAGGGAAGACGGCGCTAAGTTGGCTTGTGCTCAGTTCCTATTTTCACGGTTATCTTCACAACCATCAGGGCTACAGACATACTGACTTAAATAAGGAAAGCCGAGAGTCCACAACAGGACCCCACTCTGCAGGGCATGTTCTGCAGGGGTGGGATGTCAGGTACACAGGGCACCGGCCAGTTATACTGCACTGGGGTGAAATGCACCTGTTCCCCTGGCCTCTTTGTTTTGCAGTTATGCCGACACGTGGGAGTGGATAGACTCTGTGTTACTGAGCTACCTCTACAACAATCCCCGACTGACCCTGGTCGGGGTGCCTCGTCTCCGGCAGGAGAGCTCTGCTGGGAACGTACCTCTGGATCTGGGTGAGGGCTGGTAAAATCACCTCCACTGCTGACTGGGAGAAGGGTAGCTGGGTGGGGAGGACTGTGGGGCCCAAAATGGCACCAGCCAGAGAGAGTCAACTGCTCCATTTTAGCTAGCCAGGAGTATAGACCTGACAGGAAGCATCATCCCCCATTTGACAGGTAGGGAAACTGAGGCACGGGAGGATTGTGACATGCTCACAGTCACGCAGTGTTACCAATAAAATCCGAGGGTTCAGATTCCTGCTTCACTGCTCCAACCACTAGAGAAAGTTTAGGGGATACTGATGTTTCTCTCTACAGTCCCCAGGGTTGAAGCCTAACTGTGTATAAAACTGCGTTGGGGGAGGCACAGCCCAGCAGCCACTTCCCCAAACACTGAGCGTTGGTAAAGAAGGGAAGGGGCTGTGATCAGGGGATCCAGGCTAAAAACAGGCACCTGAAGAGTGGCACACAGAGGAATGGAAAGGCAGGAAATCCCACAGGTCCAGACGTGGGGCACAGCGGAGGCAAAGTCACCAGGGAGATGGGGACTAAGGGTCATCCCAGTGGCTATGGGATAGCACTGGACACATCCAGGCATTGAATCTCAGTGCAGGGCTGGAGTTTCCTGGGCCAATGGAGGCTGAGCGTGCTGCGAAGGGAGCACATGCTGCTCCTGCAGAAGGAGGGTGGGGGACATGATGGAGAGCCCTGCTCTTAATCCTGCAGTCCTGCCTCCCACTGACCTTCCTGGGAGTTTGGTCTGAGTAAGGAATGCAGGTTCAGGCCCCCCTTTTGATGCTTTAGAGCAAGCCCTGCTGGCCAATGAGGGAGGGCGAAGATGGGGGAACACCCTGCTGAACCCTAAACAGACAAGGAATCGGGATTGGGAGGGGGTAGAGCCGAGAACCAGAAAGGAAACAATGGAGGAGGTCGAGGGCACAGGCCAGGTGCAGAGGGGAGACACTGGGATAACCTACATCTGGAGAGCAAAATAAGGAGTGTTGTTTCTAACTGGGCATCTAAACTTGTTAATGTGCAACTCAAAATCTCGTCCTCCCGCTCTGCTTTTCTGCACCCTCAGTGCTTCCCCAACCTGGGCTTGGGTCTCTCTTGACACATCACGTCACTAACAGAACCTGTCCCCTCTGCCACTTGTCAGCGCCCAGACCAGAGGTTTCCAGGAGTGGCCAAGTGGACAGAGATGCGTGCTCTGACCCCAGCCTCCAGAATTCATCCCATGACTCTATCGGGTAAGAACGCTGGCACAGGGTGGAGTGGGCACTAATTGGCAGCTGAGAGCAGCAATGGAGCAGTTATGCAACCAAGAAGCTTGGCTCTGGATTTCTGCTTCTGGGTACCCTGATTTTCCCCATCCCATGGGTCAGCTCAGGAGTCCCCAGCTAGTAGCCCCAGGTTGCTTCACACTGAACCACCAGGAAGGTTCCACTTTTGCTTTCACAAGAAACTCTTCCAGAGGAGTGTCACAATCCTGCAGTGACTCCATGGGGACGTGATTTACCCTAGTTCTTGTCCTCTTTCCCCTCTCTCCACCCTGGGCTGTGGCATCTCCAGTTTCCCTGAGTGTTAGCTGACAATCAGCAGTAATGTTCCTTCTGTTCATTGAAACATAGTTGTTCGTGGAATCATAGAAACATAGGACTCGAAGGGACCGTGATAGGTCATCTAGTCCGGTCCCCTGCACTGAGGGGAATATTCAGAAGGATCCCAAAGCATTTGACAAACTATGGACCTGATCCTGCAAGCAGCTGGGTATCTGTAGCTTCCATTAACTTCAGTGAGTGGTGAGGATGCTCACTACCATTCAGGAGGCGCTCAGCACCTTGCAGAAGCAGACCCGAGGATGGATAGATATATCTATATCACACATGGGAGACACTGGAACACAGCAACTGTGTCACAGCCCACAGCAACTACTACGCAATAGCACAACAGAGGAAGTGAAGGCGAAGACCATAGCCAGCTGGAAATCCAGAGCAAATCCAGGGAGGCAGAATGTGTGCCTCCCCGGTTGGAATTTGGCCAGGATGCAAGGATTACAGATCTCTTCTCTCACTGAACAGGCCATGCAGTCTTTAATGACAAGTGGCCATGAATTTCAATTCATGTATCACCCAATGGTCTCCTAGGTCCATGCAGAAGCACTGGGTCACTACAAACTCAGATAACAGGGTCACGTCCTGAATCCCTAGCACCCTGGGTTTTCGCTGGAGGTATCCCATCTAAATGGGGGCTGGCCCGTCTCTGTTCTCGCTTGGGATCTGACCAGATCACAGCCCAAGTTAGGGCTCCCACTCCAGCCTCTCGCCCACTCTGTGTTTCACAACTACATTTTCTGGTCTCCCCATCCCCATTTCTTGGGGCAGGTTTTGGATCTGGGGGCACGTTGGAGTTTACCACACTAACACTGGCTGCTGGAGGGAGCTTGGAAATAGTTCTGCCGAAGCCCGAAGGACACTGGCTGACCTGCGAGCCAGCAACTGGATCAACAAAAGGCAAGTCACTCGGGGCCTCACCTTTTTCCTTGACAACCGGGCTGGGAAGTGGAAATTGAAATGAATGCGCTGTTGGCTTTGAATGCTTACCTGTGGGAGGGAGGGTTATTGCATGGCTATTTCTCTCCTGCAGTAACTCTGTCTGTCTATCCGTCTGAGTGGGACATGACCATCCTGAGAATGCAAGGTGATGTCAGTTGTTCTCTCCCGTTGTGCGGTGGCCATTGTTGTTCCACTTCCCCCGTTCCCTTGCTCTGAAGTGGAACAGAGCGACTCCAGATGACTCAGAGAAAGGGAGAGATCCCCCAGGCCATGGAACTGCACAGTGCAATGGCCAAAACTGCTGAGCCACCGACTGGCATGGGCCGGAGAGCAGGCTGGTTGTCAACTTAACCAAAACCAATCAGGGGTTGGCGGCACATTGCCAGTGGTGGCCACTTAGAATAAGGGAGCAAACCCCTGGGGACAGAGGGCCTCCGGATGGGAAAATCAGGGTTTGTGAAGACAAAATGCACTGTTATTTCCACTGCATCTGGGTCTCCTTGGGATCCAATAACTCTGCGGCTGGCTCACGTGCTAGATATACACCATTGGCTGGGGTCAGTAGGTTTCACAGCATCGTTTTGGGGGTCCCTGACTCTGAGTCTGGCTGCCAGGGGGCCCAAAGGCAGCATGGCCAAGACCCTGATTTGGGGGTAGGCACTGAGGTCCTCTGCACCGTAAGGCTGAGATCAACCACAGAAATGGTTCAGTTCAACCTTGCTTATCCAAATGGCATGAGAGAGGCTGAATAAATGCCGATAATGGTGGCATTGGGAGTTTCTGGTGTAATTTATAGATGGCAGGTGACTTGCCCCTGCTATGGATAGCTGATGTAGAGTTGTATGTCTGTGTACAGCCTAGGGAATCTGATGGCTAGTGACCTGCTAGGGACATCCCAACTTCATCCCTGAAAGTGGAAAGTCGAAACAGTGTTTCCCAGCAGTCCGGTTGAAATGTCCCCATTAGAAGGGCCAAGAATCAGGCCCAATTACCCAGCATTCCAGAGCCCTGGAAAATATTTCTTCTCAGCCCAGTGTTCTCGGCTCTCTCCCTGCATGACAGGACCAGAGCCGTGTTTCTGGAGTTTACCCAATACAACGTTGATGTCAACCTGTACGTGGTTGTGATGCTCCTGCTCGAGCTCCCATCAGTCAGACCGGCTGTTCCTTCCATCGTCATCCTCCCCTGCCAAATGCTGCGCTTAGGCACGGGGCTGGACCTTCCACTTGCCCTAGTGGTATGTATCTTGCGTTGAGAGATGCATCCAAGGCTCGGGGCTGGCTCCCAGCAGAATGCAGCCAATGTTTCACCCACCCCAGTGGGCGCTCTTTCTCCAGAGATTGTGCCACAAACACAGTCTCAGCAGGAGGAGTTTGCTGTATGATATCATAGGTGTCTGTAGGGAAACCTTAGCTCTGCAGTGGTAGCTAATTATAGTCCAAATAAATGCTTGCCTGACTGCATGTGGGTCTGTAGCGGTTACAGTCTCTGATTAGATGAATCCCAGGAGTGCATTTCCAATGGATACTCCAGGGGGATCTATCCAAGGCTCTGCTGCCTAGTGACAGGGTGGTGTAGCCTGGCTCTCTGGTCCCTTGTGATGTGGCACACAACAGAGTAATTCCTGTGTGGAGTAGCTACTCTGTATCCCTTGGGATGATGCTAGTTATCTGCTCTGTTTATTTGGGCTTCAGAAGTAGCACCATAGCTACCATGTCCCTGCTGCATCCACCTTTGTTCTTGCTACCTAACCCAGTGCACAGCAGGAAGGCAGATTCTTTTCTCGCCTGCTCTGGCTTCTTTCAGATCTCCCTGCTCGTCTTCAGCGTGGCCTTTCTCCTGCCGGAGCTGTCGCTCCTGTCTCAGGAAGGGGCCTCCTGTTTGGGTCAGAGCCGCTGTTGGCTCCAGCTGCTCCTGGCGCTGCTCTCCATTGCCGTCGGCGCCTTGCACTTTGCGCACGTCTGGCTGGCAGATGTGCAGCTCGAGCATTACTGGGGACACCGCCAGGCCTTCACCAGCTTCTATGAAGTGGCACTGCTGGCTCGGATGGAAATCTGTCTCTCAGCCCTGCTGCTGACTATCACCATGCTGAAGGTGAGTGAGCGCACAGAGTTATGTGATTTCCCAAGGTCACGTGTCATGTCAGTTGCAGAGCTATGGATGGAACCCAGGAGTCCTGACTTCCACTCCCCCCCCCCAGCTCTAACACCTCCCCATTCCCAATGTTCCAAAGTTGCTGATTAACAGCCTGGCCCATCTCCCACTGAAATCTCAATCGGAGCCTTTCCACTGGCTTTCTGTTCAGTCTGAGCCCTAGTTCACATGTTGTGGGAAACATTTTATCTACTCAACACCCATTGCTTCAAAGCCACCTGGGTGTTGTGCATAGGAATAAATCAGGGCCAATCCTGATCTCCGTTACATCGGTGTAACCCCTCAATAATTTTATCATTGCCAGGCTGCATGGCCTAAACACATTCCAGATTCTCATCTGCCATCACCAGCATGAGAGGGCACCTGGAAATGGGCTGGATTTGGAAAGAGATGAAAAAGATAAGAACAGCCATACTGGGTCAGACCAATGGTCCATCTAGCCCAGTATTCTTTCTCTGACAGTGGCAGTGCCAGATACTTCAGAGGGAATGAGCAGAACAGGGCAATTTCGAATGATCCATCCCCTGTCATCCAGTCCCAGCTTCTGTCACTTGGAGGTCTAAGGATACCGACAGTATGGGGTTGTGTCCCTGACCATCTTGGCTAATAACCATCGATGGACCTATCCTGTGTGAACTTAACTAATTCTTCTTTGAACTCCGTTATACTTTTGGCCTTCACAACATCCCCTGGCAATGAGTTCCACAGGTTGTGTGAAGAAGTACTTGCTTTTGTTTGTTTTAAACCTGCTGCCTATTAATTTCATTGGGTGACCCCGGGTTCTTGTTATGTGAAGGGGTGTGTGATCGGACACGTGGTGCCTTCAGTAATCACAACCCTTGCTGCCAGCTCTCCCTAACTTCCTTGGGTAACAGTCCCCACTACTCACCCCAATGGAGAGTTACGTGGGAGCAGATCACAGGGTGAAATTGAAGTCAAAGTGGTTTCTCTCTCATAAATAAATCAGGTGAGTCTGTCTCTCAGTCTCTGGCCAGACATCAATTGCTGATCTTCACCACCACATGGAAGTAGGACATCCTTCTTCATCCAGCAGCCCTTGTGCATGGTGGCAAGTGGTGTGAGACGATGTCAGGCCTGAGCTGCTAACAGCCTGGATGATGTATACCTTCTCGTTAGCATGCACATATTCAATTATGCCACAATGACCTTATAATTGTCATTGGGGCTGCTGCTGAGATGTAATATCATCTTTGTTCCTTTCTCCCGCTTCCTAATGAATTGGCCAAGTGGCCCAGCTGCTGTCTTCCAGGCTTGCTGTATTTATGGTTCACTGTCGACCGTTACTTGCTTAATGCATAGACAATAAAAGAGCGAGCAAACAAATGGATAAAGGCTGCTGGGAGCCAAAGCTGGAGAGTCAGTGAAGAGAAAGGGACCCCTGGAGCAGCCTCCTGGAGAGCTGAGAGGATGGGGATCTCTGACACAGGAGATCACATCAGAGAACTGGACATTCCCGAGACACTGCTTTAATGGACTGTGCGTGTCAGATGAGTGCATACAGGGGGTCCTCAGTATACGTCAGGGTTGCGTTCTTGAAAAGGGCGACAGATACTGAAACGACGGATACCGGGGAATTTTTCCCCATAAGAAATATGGCCCGCTCCGCCCCTTCCTGCCCCCCCTCCACCCCTGCCCCGCCTCTTCCTGCCCAGTTTCACCCCTCCTCCGAGCGCGCCCAATCCCTGCTCCTCCCTTTCCCTCCCAGCGCCTCCTGAATGCCAGGGGAAGCACCCAAAGAAAAGCCATGCAAAAGGAGAAGCGACCGATATGCGGATCGGGACCGACGTCAATCGGAACATGTTCCCCTATTGATGAACGACGGATAAGAGGGAGATGTATATCGGGGATCCTCTGTACCAGCTAGCTTGTGTGTGCCTGGATAATTCGTTCAGGGAGCATTGCACTAGCACATAAGGCTCCCAACTACTGTACCACTGTCCTCTGACCTGGTTGCAACACAGTTAAAATGTAGCATAGATGGGACCTAACCCCATAACTAGGTTAGAACTCTCAACAGACGTTAGCTTTTGATTGGTTACAGGGACATGGAAGATTCTGCCCAGGCTGCAGCTTTTAACAGCCACATTGCAACTGGGCCCCTGACTCAGTCATGGCCATAATGAAGGCTGGGCCTTTGAGAAAGACGATGCCCTTGCTCCGACCAGCTTCCCTCACCGAGTACCTGATGTGGCCACCTGGATATGCAGACACCTCTTGTGAGACGGAGCAGAGTGAATGTACTCGGGACGGTTTGAAATGTCACTTTTCTGATAACATCTAACCAGGCTTCCTGCTCACCCATGGACCTTCTCCCCCCAGATTGTACGGCAGCTGCGCTTTGTCCGGAGATGGTCTGCGTTTGGGAAGACGTTCCAGCGTGCACTGGGAGAGCTACTGGCTGCCACGCTCCTCTTCCTCCTGCTGCTCCTTGTCTATGCGCAGTGTGGATATCTGGTAGGTTATGCAGAGGCTGGCTCTCAGCAGTGGGAGTGCGTGTGGAGAGTAGGATGGTCATGACTTACCTGTACAGGGCACTATGCAGTGAATTCCTGTATTTATCCATAGGCTTGATACAAGACGATGCAATGTGTTTGTCTCCCTGCTACTCTGCCGCTGGGCATCAGCTCCTCAATCAGTCTCTCCACTGCTCCCCAAGAGGGACCCACTCACTGCTGAGATCAGATTCTAGTGCTCATTTGCGTTCATGCTTTCTGTTTTGCACTGCTCCAGCAGTGAACTGGAAAGCTCTCTGGGAGTGACCCACGCCACATGGGGGCAAAGTGGGCTTGTGCAATGGCTAAGGATGTGTAGACAGGAAAGGGTAAAGACACCTTTCCTAGCGATAACCCCTACGTTGTCTCTCTCATTCCCAGGCCTTCTCTGCTACAGTAGAGGAGTTCAGAACATTTCGATGTGCCTTCTATGCGCTGCTTTCGGCCCTCCACGGGAAAGTGGCTTTCCTGTCCGTGATCCAGGAATTCCCCACCCTCGGCACTGCCTACGTCCTCAGCTTCACGGTCAGCTTGCTCTGCATTGGCAGCCGTTTCCTTTGTGCTGTCATCCTTCACAGTTACCGCACTGTCCAAGCTGAAATGTACCGCCCCGCCATTGAACCGCAGGACTACGAGATGATCGAGTTCTTCGTGAAGAGGTTCAAGCTGTGGATGGGGTTCAGCAAAACTAAAGAGGTAAGAAAGGAGGAAACCTGGGTGTAGAGTAGCCAGCAATCCAGAGTCTAGTGCTGCAGCATCAGAGCAAGGTGAACTGAATCCAGTGCTTAATTTTGTGCCCGGCACCTCTGGGCCTGGCCTGGCAGTTCGGAGCCCCGGCGCCTCTGGGCCTGGCCTGGCAGTTCGGAGCCCCAGCACCTCTGGGTTTGCTGCATCAATTATGAATGTTAAAAAATTGCTTAAGCCCTGGCCCTTCTTTCATTACAAATTAAGCACTAGTTGAATCCAAAGGCCCGGTTCAGTCGAGTGCTCTCACACTATTCTACTCATGGGCCCGTACCCTGACACAGAGGGGCCACCCTCAACTCTTAGGCTGGGGGAGAGTCTGATCTTACAGCAGGGTACATCTGGATTAACGCCTTCCATGGGGTCCCTCGGCTTTACACCAGTGTTACTGAGATTGTACTCCAGTCCCCTTTCCTTCCCTAACCTCTATCCTGCCCTGGAGTGACCAGCCTTTTAGGAACAGAAGGGAATGTAGCTTCCATGTAAGAGGGCTCACTTTCCCCCCTTCCTCTTCTTCTGGACAATAAGGCTCAGCTTTTACCCAGCTGCTATCCCCGTCTGCCTACTGGCTGCAGTGGGATTGAATGGGTGTGATTTGATCCTAGCAGGTCAAGACTTGGAAGAAGCAGAGAGTGGGGCATATAACACAAAGCGATCTTGGATTGCTCCTCTCTTTGGAGAGGGGAAGAATGGCCTTGTGGCTAAAGGAGATCTGGGTTCATTTCCCTGCGCTAGCTTCTTGCCTGGCCTTGGGAAAATCACTTGCCTTAGCTTCCCCATCTGTAGAAGAGGATAATGCTTCATAGTGTTGCAAGAATAAATTCTGTAGGTGCTACGAGGGGCTCGGATGTTACAGTAATGAGTCCCATGGGAAAGCCAGTCCCACTTTATAAGAAGGCTCCATTCATAAATGGTTAATGGAAGTTATAAGCATGTTAGAGAGATAAGTAGTATGTTTACAGGGTTGTAGCCATGTTAGTCCCAGGATATTAGAGAGACAAGGTGGGTGAGGTAGCATCTTAGGTTGGTGAAAGAGACAAGGGGACCTGAAGAAGAGCTCTGTGCAGCTCAAAAGCTTGTCTCTCTCACCAGCAGAAGTTGGTCAATAAGATATTACCTCCCCGACCTTGTCTCTAGTATGAGGAACTGATGGCTGTAAGCAACCTGTTGGCCTCTGATTTAAACCAAATTTTAAACCATCCATTAACCCCTCCTAAACCATTATAAATGGAACCTTAATCTAAAGTGTGATGGAAAAGCCTATAACTAACACTGCAGGAAAGAACGCACTGTTGTGGCTCATGGGCCCTCTTACCCTACCAAAGGTAGCAGCCCTGGGCTCTGGGATTCTCAGGGGATTTCCTCTTTTTTCCTTGTCACTCAGTTCCGCCACAAAGTAAAGTTTGAAGGGATGGACTCCCTGATTTCACGCTCCTCCGGGAACTCCAAATGCTCCCGCCTCCTGTCTGCTGGCACCATCTTCCGCTGTGCCAGCTCCACCATCTCCTCTAGCTCCGAGGAGCTGGCCCTTTCGGAGAGCCCTGTCCCGGAGCCGTACAATGTACAGTTTTACTTGGACCGTCTACCCTCTGCAGTCAATAACCTTCTGGACCAGTTTGACCGGGTCATTAGAGTCATGGAGGACGTATGCCAGCTGGAGAGGGGTCTGGAACAGGCTCAGAAAAGAATTAATGACAACAAGAAGGGACAGAAGAGCCTGCAGGGGGAGACGGTGACACCAGCTAAGCAGCTAGAGCTACCGAGGACTTACAGCACCTTCTCAGAGTCTGCCCTGGTCAGACTGAGGGCCCACAGGGCCAAGGTCTCCAACTGCAATGCCACTGATGGGCACAAGCTGGTCCAGCGGCCTCCAGCAGATGAGATACCTCACCCAGTGGCCGGGGGCACATCCTGGCTGGTTGGCGCTCCAATATCAACTGATCTCTGCCAAAGGCTTACCCAGGCACCAGGCATTTCATGCAAGTGGAGACCAAAGAGTGAGGAGGGGCAGGGCTGTCTGTGCCATGAAGTTCCTCAGAGGCAGATCCCTTTAAAGAGAAGAGCGTGGCAAACAGAAGGTGCTGGGAACATGTAATGAGACAAAGGTAGAAATCAGGTCATTGAGGGCAGGTCAGACTCCCGTCCCAGCCCTGGAAATGGAGTCTTCTCCATTTCCAAAGAGTGTTTCCCTCACAGCATCTCCCCTGCTGGGCAAAGGCTGTTCTTGTGAAGGACAAATCTTTGCATTAGCTCAGGCCTTCACCCCGCTCCAGCACAGTGCGCCAGAATGCCATTGTTCCCAACTCCTCCGGGAGTTCGGCAGTGGGCGTGTGATGCCAGTTGCTGGGGCAGAGCTGAATCCCAGCACAATCATTACATGGCGGTGCTCCCATCAGAAGGGAACAATAATGGGCAGTTTCATAAGCGCCGCGCGAGAAATGATGGCTGATAATACAGCAGCACGTCCGTCCCTTTCACAGTATTAGTGCTGACGGCCTCCCCCCTTCACAGAAATGGGCTAATCGAAAGGCAGCTGGAGAAACCACCCCTGACGCTCTCCCCATATTGCTGCTGAGATTCCCCCAGACTGAGACTTGTTAGTTGCTTCCATCCTCGCCCTCTGGAACACTCTCCTGAATGGGCTGAAACAAAGGCAGGTGCAGGAGCTACCCTTGAATAATTCCATCCTGGGGCTACACTCCTGGATGGTTTTTTTATGGTATTAAAGAAGGTGTGGAAAATGAGTTTATTTGAATGAATCACTAACCCCAGCTGTAGTACACACACATTATAGACACGCAAACATGCAGTGTATTTAACTACATTAAAAGATTTATTATAAAGGCAGGAATGGTTGAATGCATTGGTCTGTCCATACAGCTGTTTTTATGTCAGCTCCTTGCACCTGGCTGTCGCATTTCCTGTATTTATTGCCAAGTGCCCAGTCATTCTCTTTGTGAACGGTGTCCTGTGCGCGCCCCAGTCTGTTCCTCCTGTAGACACTGAAGCACGGCCATTGGAGTGGTTGTGCCGTTTTTTCCAGGGTCGCTTTCTGAGGCCTTCCCTATCCTCGCTCAACGCCTTTATCTAGGAGTCAGAATTTCCTACCCCGAACGACCCACTGCCCCAGCTAACTTTCTTGGTGTGACACATCATAGCAGTGTTAATACAAAGAACCCTGATCCCTAATCCTTCATTGATTTATAGGCCTTGCAGCTTGGGTCCCATCACCTAGAGGCAGTGTGTTTAGGGATGGCTGTTGTGTACCTCTTCAATGAAGCCCAGCAGGAAGCTGAAATGGAACATCTCCAACCGTCTGAGTTCCCTGTTGACTGTAAACTGCATCTGTCCCTCATCCCCAGTTACATTTCTGCAGCTCTGTTTCCAGTGGGGTGAAAGCACTTGTTTGGGCAGGAGAGGATGTCATCAGAGTTTCTTATCTCTTTGCTCATAACTCTGACTTGGATATGATTTTGTGAAGGGTTGCAGGGCTCCAGGAGTCAGCGGGGGAAATTCATGATTCATGTCACATCCTTCAGTAAGGGAAAGGGGCTGGGCCCCATTAGCGCTTCTAGACAGGGTGAGTTACGGCTAAGGGAACCCAGCTACCGGCAGCCACACAGATCCATTAGTCTTTTGTGTTCTCAGCCCCTCAATCCAGCAAGAAGTGAGGACTGAACTACTCAAACACAGGGCAGCAGGTATCAATGAGCAGGAGGAAAGAATTTCCAGTGACACACATACCAAACCGCAGGCCATTCTCTCCCTCCCTGTCCGGCACCATTTCAGGCCCAGCACAAGGAACAGTTGTAAGGTAGAGGGCTGGGTGCAGGGATAGGTTGTTTATATGCACCCCCAATGGGTCTTTGGGAACAGCAGATTGCCCCCTGGTTTTGTCCACTATGGAGCCTGTTTCATTTTACTAATGCCCCTGAACCCCAAGAACGTGTGGGGGGAGGGGATGAAATGGCTCCATTTATACGGACAAGGGTTACTTATTTCCATTAGAATGTAATGTTTGACTTCAACTAGCTTCCAGACCCCGACTACAGGCTTTAGCCCACTTCACTATCACAGAGGAGGAACAAAATTAGCACCATTCGAAGTCTTTTCCCCCACTACGTTTCTACAACACTGTCCAGCGGCCCCAGGCCTCGTTTCAGAAAGTCAAATAATGGAGGAGGGTTGCTACCAACACTTACCCTCAAGGACACCACCTCAAAGTATGAGGCACTTTTTTTCCCCATCCATCTTATCAGAGCACAGTAAGCAGAGGTTCCCGGCTCAGCCCTGAGCTGCCTTTGAGAATGGGACTATTTTTCCAAGACTGCTTGTCCCACTTTGAAAAGCAGTTTTATACAAAGGGTGAAACCCATTATTACTACTGATGGGGCAAGGAGGGGCGGTCAGAAACCATCCTTTCCATTTCATAAAAAGCTGAGGCTTCAAAATTTGTTTTTGTTCTAATGCAGAAGAGAACTGAGACCTTTCAAAAAAAAAGCATGAAAAAACACCACCCCCTACCCCTCCACAGTGATTAGAGCATTTGCCTGGGATGTGGGAGACCCAAGTTTGAGGCCCTGCTCTCATTGATTCATTCTAGAGGCGTGTCTGTTCTTGACCAGAAATTCCATCCTGGATCTGACAAACCTTGCCAACTCCAGTTTTATCAAAAGTGATGTTTCCACAAAAAGTTCTGGTTTCAACAAACTGGCATTTTTAAATGAAAAACCATTTTGTTGAAAAATTCCCAACTCCAGTGGCGACTACTGCGGTATCAGAATGCATGTTCTTATTCACCTGAGCACGAATCCTGGTTTTGAGACTTTAGAGGTGTCAACGCTACCATGCAGCAGTCAGTTCCACAGGTTTTATTTATTGCATCCTTAAAGGCTGGGTTCCAGAGGGTTAGCCATTCTCTGGTTGACTTGTAACGTAGATGGTTTTAAATAAGCATAGTAGCACATCAGCTGCTTTATTCTTTACATCCTCTATGCAATTTAATTTCCTCATTCACCTTTTTATGGATACCCCATCACAGCGATGACCTTTTTCAGTACCTGTACCAAGCAGCACTGAGACAGGTATTTCTACCCATCGAAAATCATCATCTGGTGAAGGCTGATGCACAGAGGTAATTTAGTACTCTCATTCCATCCTCTTCGATTGCCCTCTTTTTACATGCTAGCAGTTTAGCACATTAGTTCCTAACCTTTTAGAAATGTAGTAGTTTACCATTGCTGACTCAAGGGAAGTCAGCCAGGTGTCCCTTATGAAGTACCCACAACTCAAATTCACTTCAATGGGAGAGGAGGGCACTCAACCCCTCTCAGATCTTAGTTGTCCCGGCCTCTCCTACTAAGCTGTGCTCATACTAACCAAGAGCTGTGACAAGCTACACAACGGGTTTGAGCATGAACAGGTGGATGGTGGGGCAGCTGCCAATGGTGGCACCCCAGGACTAAGCACAGAGGCCAGGAGGGGAAAGCCTGGTGCCTGCAGTACCTGGAATATTAACACCTTGTCTAGCAGATCCACGGACAGCCCCACTGGTTTAAGTCTTATGTATTTTATTATTTTTTTAAATCTTGTAACCACCAGTTTACCAGCCAAGGATGGCAACGGAGCTACTTTGCGTACCAGATCATGTTGTCACATTGTATGTGTCAGTTTGTGTGACAAAGCAGGCCAGAGTCTCTTATGACTCAGACTTCATTTGTGACACTAGGAACTCTGCTAAGGATGGTGGGGTTTTAGCTAGGAACCCAATCTACTCTGCTCATCCACAGACTGACAGCATTGCTGGCCAATTCACTAATGTTTATAGGCCCTGGAGGTGTAGACAGTCCCTTCCTAGAACAGGGTAGAGGGAGCTTTGTGGCTAAAAGGGCCATTCCCAGCCAAGGTGTACTTCTATGCTTAACCTGTTAGCATCTGTTCATCCATCCCAGCTTCCAGGCACTATTTCAAAGGAATGTCGCTATAGATGCTCTATCGCGATTGCAGTGGAAGATCAGCATTTCACAGGTGGTACACCAGGTATGTGGAGTAATAACAAAGCAGTTTGTTGTTTGATTCACTCTTGGTCCCAAGGTGTTTTCCATACTTGAACTCAGTAATGTTGTCAAACTCTTCCTCCCTGGAGACTTAGCAGGGGTGTGGCCTGCCTGCCTCTAGAAGAGGTGTCAGGTCTCAGAGGCACGGGTCTGTAGGTTCAACACACTATAATTTTTCTCCTCCACGTGGTTAGTTTGCTCCAGGAGCCACTGTCTCTGCTGCTCATTCACATCCAGTTTCAATGTCACCTCCTGGAAGACCCTGTTCACGGCAACCTATATACAAGGTAAGAGAACAACGCGGATCGATCTCAGGCATTAGCTAAATGCAGCTTCAAAAAGGGAGAATTCCATCTCTCCTGAACAGGTTGTACCTCACCTCCTTAAAATGAAGCTTTTTGAACATGCAGATACTAGCTTCATTTTCCTGTCCGACCTTAGCCTCAAATTTAGTAATTCCCAGCTTTGTTACTCCTACAGGAGAAGCGAGAAAGAGAGATAAGAACCCCTGGCTGCACACATGTATCTCCATAATGTTGCATTATGTCATAGCTGCAGACTGGCAAGATTCCCATGCTCCTTAAATACGTGGGCTGGTATACATCCACCACCCCCTCCACATATGCAGAGCAGACAATGGGAGCACGTGTGCCTGTGTCTCCCCATCACATCACTTCCGTCCTCCCACATTTAGCCATCCTTACCATAAAACATCATGATCAGAGTTGTCTCCTTGCCAAAGCCTCGGCCACGGCAACTGGGCTCTAAAAGAGACAAGAACAGACGGTGGTGTCCATCTATATAACACAAACCCTGTAATCAGTCACGTGCTGGACTAGCAGAAAGGGGGTTGCAGATGAGGACTGAATTGCACTGGTAGAGCTCTGAACGCAGGAAGCTTGTACGTTATCTGCCTACTTTCCATCTAGCTGTAGCCAATGCTACCACTGTCAGATGAGGAGAGTCGTCAGAATCCCCCTGAACCTATTTGCATGAAGGTGCTTTCGTACCTAACAGCTATTGCAGGGCAGAGGGTGGCATTAGGGTGATAGTGGTGGCAGCAGCCTGGGGCTGCGCTTAATGTACCTGCAATCATGACTTCAATCTCTCCCACTGTTGGATCCTCCATATCTGTGAGGAACAGGTTCACATCCCCCACCATGCAGTCCTCCTCGGTACCTGCTTGCCCTGACCACCTCTCGGTGTCCAGTACAATAAACGTGCATTCTGGGGAAAATGAGACAGCAGCAGAACTTACAGGGTATGTTTAAGAATCATTCACAAATTACTGAAGTCTGACATTAAAGATGGACAATGGGCAGAGAAGCAACATCCTGCACATATTAATAGCCTGTATGACCAGTAATCAGGGCTCCTGGGCCAGACAGGCATGCTTACCACGACTGCCAATACCAGCAGCACCCTGGAAAATCTATGCTGGTTTCAGTTTGCATGGACCCAGGGCTCACACAGATACTTTAACTTGATGCAATATATAAAATTAATGTGGATTAGCTTTCCCCACTTCATCGCCTTTTACAGTAAATTCAGGCAAAGAACCTTGAATGTGAACATAAGAGACTGAAGCAACCTGTTGAGTCACCCAGTCTATCCCTCGGCTCCTTTCAGTATGTCTTCCCGTGCTCTCAGCACTGACCTAGACAAGGGTTAACTTCGGGTATGTCCCACCCTCAGTGTCTTGTGACTATACATTTGTACTAGATTTTATGGGCAGTCACTCACCCAACCTTTAATAGAGCCCGGCAAACAATCCAGCCAATGAACCCAAACCTTGTCATTTTAAATTGTCAGATTCCACTGGGAGAACTCAACCCCTCCCTCCCCCTCACCCGTTTACAAGGATTGAGTTCTCAGATCTCTGCTCTTTACAAAAGTTGACTGGATTGCTGCTGCTCAAGTGATATTAAGAACTTAAATTATTCTTGTTATTAACAGCTGGATAAAGCAAAACTTCAGCAGCCCCTGTGTTCCTCCAATCCCTTGAATAAGTGTGTGCATACACAAGATCCATATGTATTCACTGCCCAAAAACGTCATTAAGGCTGAGATAAGTTTGACTGGTGGTACCTCATACCTTCCAGAATATCAAATGGACCTATATTTTAACTCTGCATTTACTGGTTTTCAGAGGTTCAGGTGATGACAGAGAGATCCAAAAATGTTGACGTTATATAATTTTTAAGGGAGGGAGGGTTATATCCTGAGAACCTATTCCTTAAATGACCCCAAATTTGAACCACTAACCCTACTCCCCACCCCTCTGAGACACATCCATTTTCAAGACAATCTGATTAAGCACGTGGATTTTAGAGCATTTAGAACAAAACTGGAAATTAAACAGTAAGCTATTCTCACCCTTAACTCTAGGGGGGCTACTGCCCTGCTATAATGGCTCACACCCCTTACAGTACAGGCTTGCAGAATCACACCTGCCAGAAACTCCTAACAACAGTGAGGCGGAAGTGGTCACTACACCTTCCCACTTTTGCAAAACATTCAAATGCCTCACTATCTGCATCCTCCTGCCAGCTGCGCTGCATCTCGTACTCCTGCTCCAGGCTCAGTGGCTCGGATGCGGTCAGTCGCTGTAGCTCCTCCGATTTCATCCACTCATGGTACCTGATGGAGAGTGCCACAAACAGAATGCAGACCTATTTAGAACACCACCTGTTGTGTTCCACTGAAACCTTTAAGGGTCAAACTGTCCCCCTACCATGAACCTATTCAGGAGACTACAAATGGCTATAAATGCCCCATTGACCAGAGGCTGTAAGGCTCACTTAACTTCCTGAAACAACACCAGAATCAGTACACAATCTCCTTCATACAGGCACACAAATGAAGGGACTAGTACAGGCATGCGTGACACCTCACCTTGAGTTTGCTTTGCACTGAGCGTGCAATCATCCAAGTCTGCAGTTTACAAACTCATGGCTTAACATTTAAATTCTTCAGAGAGCAGTTCAGTTTTCATGAGTTAAAGTTTCCCTGTTCACAAGCGATTGGGAAAAGGTTATAGCGAGCACTGAAACAGCAGCACAGCCGATGGCTGTTTGGTGGCCAACGTGAAATGAGCTAATGGGTCCAGCTCACTTCTAACTGGACAAGTGTCCACATGGATAAACAAACATCACCACTGACATTTGCTGTCCATCTTTGATGACAGTCTCTGCAGAGGGCTCAAGGACACCGAGCTGCCCTCACACCTAGAGGTGGCTGCTACAGAGCAAAACCAAGGAATATGGGCAAGCCAACACAGGCAAAGCCATACTGCTGCTGCTTGTGCTGTGCCACTTACACAGACAAAGAGATCATTTCAGTCCCCAGGGCTGGTAAGCCAGAGCCTTCCATGAGTGATAAATTCCCTTAAAAAATAAAGTTGAATTTTAAAAATAGAAACAGATGTCAGAGATGGTGTAAGCGACATACCGGGATACATGAGCAGAGGTGTATGGTACCAGGGTCACCTTCTTCCCCTGTAAGACTGTGTTCTGGTTAATCTTCATAGTCTTCAACCTGAAAGAGAGACAGAAAGTAACTTATTAAAACTTTTAAAGATACCAGGGGAAAAGTACACCATCAACAACAGTTCCTTGAAACTGAGTAAGTACAATTAATTTCACTTTCTCATAGAGACCCGTTTAAATAATGGGCTCCAACTTTTTTTATTTTTTACACTTCCTTACAACCTCCCCCGCCCACCACCACATTTTCCTGCTCCCCGAATGGGTTTTATCCTGGTCTTTTCAGCAAAGGAGACACTGGCTAAGTGACTGCTCTAAGAGGTGAGCTGCGAAACTGACTAGACACGATGTGCGGCAGAAGCAAAACAATGAGGAGATGCAAGAGACGAGCCCCACACCCAAACCGGTCCTAGTCCGACGGGTCAGCACTGAGCAGCCATTTACCCCCACCCCACTGCGTCACATCCGAGCAGCGGGGGACACTGCTCCAGCCCCAGGAGGGGAGGCGGGAGGAAATGGGCAGCCTCCAGCCCCCAGTGGGGTGGGGATGGGAGGCAATTGAGGGGGACACCCAGCCCCGGGTGGGGGGCAATGGGCGGCGCCCAGCCCGGGGAGGGGATCTCTAGCCCTAGCAGGGAACGGGGTCTCCCCAGCCCGTGGGGTCCCGGGGCTACAAGGCACCTCTTGTCTCGGTCCGACCCGCTGCGAGCTGGTATAGTGTGAAAAAGTGCTTTGGATGCCTCACCTAGAGCGCATGCGCAGAAACGACTCCGCTTCCAGCCTACGGGTGCCACCGAGTCGAGTGCGGCCGGACGGCCCGCGCTCCCGCACGTGATCCAGTGCATCCAATCGCCGGAGCAGGGGCCTCGTTACGCGTGTGGAAGGCCTTGCTGCTGCGTGGTGAGTCCGCGCATGCGCTGTACGTTCCACGGTATGAAGGCGGCGTCTGGGGTATGCCGGCAGGGTCCTTGGGAGCGCAGGTACGGGAGGAGCTAGCTGCCTGTGGGGCGGGGACGTGGTATGGAGAGGGTCTGAGAGATGGGGCTCTGGTGACATGGGGGTTGGGCAGTGTGAGGGTTCTGGGGT